AATCAAATAACGGGCACATTACATTAATATTCATCTGTTCATTCAATAATGTAATTGTTATTGCAACGTATATTTTATATTTATATTTTATTACTATTGAATAATATATATAACACTATATTATTATACATTCATATTATTAAATGGAAAATTAAGACAATGATTTGATATTATTGCTGGCTCGTTAGGTTATTAGTATTAGGTAGTGACAAAATTCATGTACTATAATTTTTATGTAGGATATCTGCGGTATTTTTTGCATCGTGTTTCTAAAGATATTCATCTTGCTGCGGATTTTCCTATCGTTTTTGGACTGAGATTTCAATAAATCTATATTTTAATATATTTTTGTTATATTCATTAATTCTTTGCGTGTTTATGAGAAACCGGCGTATTAAATAAAATTTGTATAAATATTCAAAATCCTTGAATCCTTTCCATACAACGCTCTGAAACATTTCATAACATGTCCATCATCATTGTTAAGTCTCCTCTACAACATTATTATGATTTTTCGGAGTCAAATGTCCGACTTATGTGCATTGGATTACTGGCTATCATAATGAGGCTTCACGAATCTACTATCGGTATTGGGGCGAGAAAAATGATCATGTCGCATCAATATTCGTCATATATCGACTGTTGTTACGTTGTATGATATTTCTCTCAGTAAATTATACTGCTTTGATTAATGCAGTATTATTACACGGAAATAATGTACAGTGTCGCGCAAAAATTTCGAGCCATAGTGTCTTTTTAAGATACATGACAATATATTGATTTGCTCTAAAAATTAATTATATAAAATAATTGACATAACATTCTTACAAATGATAGTACAGTTACAAAATTTTGAAAGTACATAGTTTCTATTTATTTAGTCATATAATATTTAAATGTGTTCAAAAGTATTGAGCCGTATTCTTATTGTGACTTTATGAGCCCGGTTTGTTTACGTTTCTTATGAAACTTCTTCGTAAATATTTGCTTTAACTAAGGTTCAGTTTATTGTCTACCGCAATGCCGAAACATACAAGCCTTCAGTTACGCGAAGCCGTGATTAATCTTTCTCAGCAAGGAAAGGTTTCTCGCGAAATTGCTTATTGCTTATTAATTGATAAAAGTATGGTAAATAGGATTATTGCTAAATATAAGTTGACGAACTCTTTAGCTGATAAATCACGAAATGGTAGACTTCGCAAAACTACAAAGCGCGTCGATAAAATGATTAAAAGAATGTCGATAGCAGATGTTAGGAAAGCTGCTATGGATATTTCTCGAGAACTACGAGAAGAAAATCTTGCTGATGTAAGTCGAAGTACAATATTTGACGTCTAAAGGAAGGAAGTAGGACTTTTAGGACGCGTTGGTGTAAAAGAACCATTAATTAATGCAAAAAATAAGAAAGATCGGTTAGATTTTGCAAGGAAATTTGAACATTGGACTGAAGTTGATTGGCGAAAGGTACTTTTCTCTGACGAGTCAGAGTTTCAGTTATTCGGAAGTGCCGGTAGAAAATATATACGATATCCAACAGGCACAACATATAACCCAAGATATCAAATTCCTACCGTAAAACATGGTGGAGGTAACGTGATGGTTTGGGGATCATTTTCTTATAATGGAGTTGGTCCATTGGTTGAGATCATATATTGACACAGCATATGCTGCCATATGCAACTCGAAACATGCCACGTGATTGGATTTTCCAACAAGATAACGATTTCAAACATTCATCAAAACTAATAAAAGAATTTTTCATCATGAAAAAAATGCGGGTTCTTGACTGGCCCTCGCAATCACCGGACTTGAATCCTATTGAGCATTTGTGGCAAGAATTCAAACTACATACAGGAAATAAGATACACTCCAATACAGCTGAATTGTGGCAAGATTTGCAAACTCAATGGCAAAATTTTCCTCAAGATTATATTTCTAATTTAATAGCATCAATACCTCGCCGTTGTGCTGCTGTGATTGCTTTTAAAGGCATGGCGACAAACTATTAAGTTTAAATAAACGTTGATAACACTTTCTGTTATTATTTTTCAATGATATATTTTCCTAATGCATAAGAAAACTTTTTGGCGCAATACTTTTGCACCGTTTGTAATAAGACGTCGTATAAAAATAAAGTATTTATAATTATTAAGAGTTTGTAAAATTTATATAATCGTAGGATAAATAAATACATTTTGTTTATATATATGTGTAAAGTTTTTAGTGCTCATTATGAAATGAATATATAATAATACTAGGTGCGCAACTAAGTTTCCGGGTTTCACGTATGGATGGCGCTAATGACACATGTAGTGGACATACATGTGTGAAGTTGTGTTTTTTTCATAGCTTGGACATCTGTCAACAATAACCAATCGTAATACCAACACATATCGCAACGCAAAAATATTTTTTCTAACAAGGAAGATGTTGAGTTTTGTGCCAAATAAACAGCTTTTGCGGGAAGCTTTGCTTTTCTCCTTTAACTTGAAAAAAAGTGCAGCTGAAGCACGTCGTTTGCTTGAGGAGGCCTACGGCGAGCATGTACCATCGAAAACTACCTGTGAAGATTGGTTTAAACGCTTCAGAAATGGTGATTTTGACACTGAGGACAAAGAGCGCTCCGGAAGACCAAAAACAATTGAGGACATCGATTTAACAATAACCAGGCCTACCGAGGAGACTACTATAAAAAAAGCGGACCAAGATATCTACCGCAATGTGGTGTGGAAATGATAGTGCATCACTTTCCTATCGCTTCTGGAAAGACAGGATGGCGCAATGTCATGTTTTTTCCTTATAGCTCGCTGCGCGCGCCCCCTAGCCTCTTGTCGCTTGCGCTCGCTTGCTCCACGTCGTTCGCGCTCGCTCGCTCGCTGCTCGTCAGGCGCGCTCGCTTATTAGCCTTCGCTGACTCCGCCTGTACAAAATGTCTACGTGCTTATTGCGGCCACACTCCGCTCTTTACGAGCTCGTTAGCTCACATGTTTTAATTAATAATAACTCGATAACTATTGCTCATTTGACATTATGGTACATGACTTTTCTTCTCGGCTACACCCAATCTATCTTCAACTTTCATCTGTATGATAAGCTTTCAAACTCCCTATATTTGTAATAAATATATTTTAAATTAAAAATATATCTTCTGTATCCTTTTTTGATACATAATTACGATACATAGTTACATACTAAATTTAAAGTAATATAAAAGTAACAAGTGAAATAGAAGGAAAGATTACACACCTTACAGCAGCTAGACTCGAATTCTGCTTGCCTTCCTATGTTTAATTACCTTAATTTTATTATTGAATAACTTCAAGGCTGTCAAGCAAACGTCTAAGAAAACGGCAAAGAACGGACCAAATATTTTTAGATTTTTGTCAAACCGGTAATTTACATTTCGTACAATTCCGTTATTAAGTAGGCTAACTTGAATATCTACCATTTGAATATCTACGTTCACAGATTAACTTGATGTAAATATTATGTCATTAGAATCAATCCGTTTTCATGCAATAATGTGAAAAGGTATCAGAAGCAATACTATACAGTGTAACTGAAAAAAAAATAACGCAACATCCACCTGTAGCGCAGCATCTATCACACACACACACAATATCATCATGTTTTCCGAAAATTGTATCGTGGAAGGATAATATTATTATGAATGGATAGATTTGATATTCTATGTTCTTTACTTTACTTGTTGCAAAATTGTAAAATGTCGCAAAATTACTAGATAGGGATACAGATAAATTAGAAAATGATAAGAAACAAGCTGTTATTCAATTGTTGAGTGAGCACTCTCTGCATAGAGATCGAAGAACATTCCTCGCAACGAGCTATTTAAACTGATTAGATAGGCAGAATATTCAAAAGAAATAAAACAATTTTGATTTATGATTCCTTTTTTTTTTATCACGCAGGGGAAATCCATCATGGATACCCCCGACCCTTGAGGAAGTCGTGGGTTACGCCGGACTCCTATCGGCTAAAACCCCTGCGGGGTGTCTACCTTTCGGACCATGATGGGGGAGTCAGGGTAATTACTCCCGTATTCCCTCGCCGATACCCCGGCCCCAGGGCTCATGCTCGGAATGCCCCACGCCCAAATACCGCACCCTCTCCCACAAAAGGAGTCGGGGGCGCGGTCCCCGGCTGGTTGCCCAGCTGGGTTAGCCTTCTGGTTACTCTTACTGGAGGGAGAGGACACCCATCCTCTCTCCGCACTGCCCTTGTTCGACAAGGGGTGCGGGGGTGTGGAGCTCGGCCCCAACCAGGCTTCCATTCCCCCTTCGCCTAACTCCTATCGACGCCCGGGGGGAACGAGTGGTGGACTTATTGCATCCGTCGTCCCCCTTCCTCCGTGCGTCCGAAGGCGGGCCCGAGGCGATATATGATTCCTGCGAGCATAGAATATAACTGATACATAAAAAAAGTAACATACACATGCATGTACGCACTCATACGTAATATAACTGTTATAAGTTGTAAATTTTGAGGTCTGTTAGTTTATTCTTATAACATTTTTTATTTCTTATAACATAGGATATATTTTATAAGATAACTGTGTTTTGAAGTTATATTCCTTTGTTCTTATTGCTTATATATCAGCAATATATCAGCAGTATAATTTAAATATAATATGTTGAAGTACAAATGCGTACGCGTTTTGTTTTATATTTATCACATACAACAGATTATACAATAATATTTAGGTCGACTCATCCTTTAACCAACATTTGTTTCTTGTACGTAAAATATAATGAATTATCGCATATGAATACCGTGTCGTCGGTATGACAAAACTTGTACAAATTTTCTAAATTCTTGTATTAAGAAGGTAGTATAATTTTTAATTACAAATGCAGTACGTGTTTAGTTTTATATTTATTAAAGTGATATTAAGTGATATACACGGGCAAATCATCTTTGAGTGCGATTATTGCAAGAACTTATTCACAGAAAAATATATTTTGCGAGACCACATTGGACGAATGCACATGGACAATAACTATGCGTGTACTGAGACTGGCTGTAAGAGAAAGTTCAGAACGCTACGAGCTCGGGATAAACATATACGAGATGTTCATCATAAGAACCAGAAGGAAAGCGGTAGTCCGAAACTGGGACCGTCCTGGAAGAGTGACACTCCCAAGAGCAGCAAACATTCCAAAAAGAGCAGCAAAAAGAACGTAAGAGCGCCTTATTCATGCAATATCTGCAAAAAAGGTTTTAATAAGAAAGAAGAGTTGAAACATCATCTCAGTGCCGATCATGGACAAGATATGCTCTGCTGCGAAACATGCGGTTTCACATGTAAAGATCAAAACTCATTGAACGAACACACAATACAAAAGCATATGCATGAGCACAAATATATGTGTGATGAGGAAGGCTGCGGCAAGAAATTCAAACTCAAGAAGGATCTGACGAAACACAAAAGGCAGAATCACTCGAATAAGCCGTACACGTGCAAAAAATGTAGTCATGTTAGTTCTAGTTTCTCAGAGTACCGTGCACACAATTCCATGCACTTAAAAAGAAAAGTAGCCTGTCAAATCTGTGGGAAGAAGATATTCAATAACCAATTATCTGTACATTTAAAGACACATAGTGAGAAGACATTTGCTTGTTCTACCTGCGGTAAGAAGTTTCATAGGGGAACACACTTGCAACGGCACATGTTAACTCATTCGCATCAAAGACCCTATGCCTGCAACATTTGCAGCGCGGCGTTTGTGGAGCGACAGGCTTTAGACACTCACAGGAGGGACGAACATCCCGATGCATCTCCAATCGAATAGAACGAATCGATATCATACATATATTGTTGCAAAATTTCTAGAAAAATCAAGAACATTCAGGTTGCCAATCAGGAGTAGAGAAGATATAATATGTACGCGACGAAACAGTTTGTATTTAAGTTTACATACGCACACACAACACATACGCGCTTCAACACACACATACTTAAACACACACACGTACAGATACATAATGTTCATGGTTGGGTGAATATTTCAAAACAGATTTCTTTATAAAAATATGTATTCAGCAATTTTTAAATTGTGATTTTGTCCTTGAATGTCTGTTCGTAATAATCCTACATTTTCTATATACTCTTACATGTATGTGTGTGTGTGTGTGCATACGAGTGTGTGCACGCGATACGAGTGTGTGCACGCATACGAGTGCGTGCGTAGATGTATGCACGCACGCACATGCTCACACTTTTCGCTCGCAGTTTTCTGTGTAAAATAATAAGAATAAATATATAGAGAAGTATATAGAGATGAGTTGAAGGATGACTATATGACGTACGTTATACATATGTGTTTTACTTGTATGTTGAGCTGAGCATCATGTTGAAATTTTATTTGTGTATAATAAAATGAAAAAATGTCATATTGTATTTGTAATATTTTAAAAATAATCTAAAACGTTGACACACGTGAATATTTACATGTTCCAGTAAACACGAATTATGACAGTGACAATTTTATCAATGTCATAATATTTCACTTAACAATGTAATTAATATTAGGTATTCCCCTTAATAATAATACTTAATAGTAACACTCTGAAAGCAATTTAAATGTAATATGTTATAAATTATAGTTATCGTTTAGCAAGGTATTGTGACATTGATATAATTTTATTACAATAATTTGTTCTTTGACTGGAATATATTAATATACATATTATAATATACATATTATAATATCGATATGTTGATGTTTATGTGTTACGTTTATATTTATTCTTAGCTACATTCCATCTTTAACCGTATATAATTATGTACATTCTCTCGAAAAATTAATTCTGTTTAAAAAGCAAAAAGAAAATACATTTAATTTCCATGATTGATTACTATAATGTGAACATACATTTTCTTTCATCAAATTTATGCAATAGCATTCTGCCGTTATGAATATATGTAATGAATATATGTATACGTATATTACATGACTATGTACCATCAAGTACAACAGGCACATTATATTAATATTCATCTGCTCATTCAATAATCTAATTGTGATTGCAACGTGTATTTTATATTTATATTTTATTACTATTGAATAATATATATAACACTATATTATTATACATTCATATTATTAAATGGAAAATTAAGACAATGATTTTATATTACTGCTGGCTCGTTAGATTATTAATATTAGGTAGTGACAAAATTTATGTACTATAATTTTTATCTAGGATATCTACGGTCCTTTTTGCATCGTGTTTCTGAAGATATTCATCTTGCTGCGGATTTTCCTATTGTGTATTGGACTGAGATTTCAATAAATTATATATTTTAATATATTTTTGTCATGTTTATTAATTTCTTGCATGTTTATGAGAGAAACTGCATATTAAATAAAATTTGGTAAATATTCAAAATCCTTGAATCCTTTCCATTCAACGCTCTGAAACATCTCATAACATGTTCATCATCATTGTTAAGTCTCCTCTACAACATTATTATCATTATTCGGAGACAGATGTCCAATGCATGTACATTGGATTATTGTCTATCATAAAGAGACTTCACAAATCTACTATCGGTATTGGAGCGAGAAAAATGACCATGTCGCATCAATATTCGTCGTATATCGAATGTTGTTTTACATTTCTCTCAGTAAATTATACTGCTTTGATTATTGCAGTAGTATTACACAAAAATAATATAGATATAGACAAGGAATCGAAATGTATTATTATCGAAAAAATATATTTACTGTGTTTCATCAGCATACTAGTAGTCTAAATCAAAACTGGAACGAGGGTGGACAAAAGACAAGAGGCATCGATTACGCACAGGCCTTTGTTTATACAGGGAGTTTGAAAGGTTATCATACAGATGAATGTTGAAGATAGATTGGGTGTAGCCGAGAAGAAAAGTCATGTACCATAATGTCATATTAGCAATAGTTATCGAGTTATTATTAATCGAATCAGGTGAGCCAACGAGCGCGTACAGAGCGGAGGGCGGCCGCAGTAAGCATGTAGAGATTTGGTACAGGCAGAGCCAGCGAAGGCTGTTAGGCTTGAGCGCGCGGCGAGAGGCAACCGTAAGCGACAAGAGATGAGCGTGCGCGATGAGCAGCGAGCTATAAGGAAAAAATATGACATCGCCACGTCTCGTCTTTTCAAATGCGATAAGAAAGTGATGCACTATCATTTCCACACCACCTTGCAGTAGATACCTTAGTCCGCTTTTTTTATAGTAGTTTCCACGGTAGGCCTAATCCACACTTACAATCTAATGTAAGAATTATTCGAAGTCGTCCTCTCTCTCGTATGCATAGTTCGGCCGTTCATACAATATTGCGCGTCGCACGGTGCACTATGTCCAGCATAATGGTATCAAAAGCCACAACAATAGCTTCAGATACCTCATTTTCTGTATCATTACGCTGATGCTCGATTAAACTTATATGACACCATACGAAAAAGTCTAATATATTTAAATCTGGCGACCGTGCCGGCCAGATGATTCGACCACCACGACCCATCCACCTGTCTAGCAATTGCACGTTTAATACCTCCAGTACTTTGCGACAAAAATGAGTCGGTGCTCCGTTGTATTGATAAATGAGCTGCGCTCGTATGATTAATGGCACATTTGCGAGAAGCACTGGCAACTCGTTCTCTGATAACTGTCTATAAATCCTGCCAGTTAAACGCTGCGGAAAGAAATGGGGACCGATCTGAACGGAAATAACGAACGAAAAAACAATTCACTTAAACAGTAGGAAAAATTATTTTCTTTCTACTTATCACTTGATTCCCGATTATTCTCGATCATACGTTGATGGACCAACGGTACTGAAATCCGCCTTCACGGACGACGTGCGGATTTTCGTCGAACCAATATCAATAATTACGAGAATTAAACAAGCCATTTTGTGTGAACGTAGCTTCGTCGGTCCACAGAATATTGTCAAGAAAAAAGTTATTCCGCCGATATTTCGCGAGAAACACTGAGTATGTTTTTCAACGATTATTATACTCTCAAATCACCGCGAATAAAAAAAGTTAATGACAATACCTTCGCAAAAGTCGCAAATATCCGTTGTTTCAAATCCCGCGGTAACAGCTGTTGCATTCGCTGGTAATGATACGGATACAACTGATGTACACGTAAAGTGCGATGCACGTTTGATACGATAAATTGAGTTCGCGCGCCGCTCGACGCACGCTGTTTCCGGGATTCTCGTAGAAGGTGTCAAGAATTCATTCCTCGTCTTGAAGAGAACGACGCACTGGCATACCTAGCGCATTATGCACTAGACACCCCGTTTAACGTAATCTTTGCACAATACGGAAAATTATCTGATGTGTTGGATAATGTGCACATTTACGAAATTGCTCCGCGTATATCCAAGCCGCGATGCGCGCATTTCGACCCGCAAGCCCGTAGGCCACTATCATCTGCGTGTATTCTTGTGAAGTATATCGCATTGTCGGTTTAACACTATGCGAGATCGATACGTGATTGCAGAAAAAGACCTCGTGTTCACAAATCTCGGCAGAAACAATTGACGTTCGAAATATCGAAAGTCAATTGTTTCTGCCATCTTTTTCGAAATACGCTTGCCGCGGCTCGAATATACACGGTGAGCTGTTCCTAACTCCAGCAATTTCTCGGGCGTGCACATTATCCAACATATCACACAATTTTCCGTGTTGTGCAAAGATTGCGTGAAACTGGGTGTCTAGTGCATAATGCGCCAGATATGGCAGTGCGTCGTCGTCTTCAAGACGAGGAAAGAATTCTCTACTCGTTCTACGAGAATCTCGGGAAAAGCGTGCGTCGTGTGGCGCGGGAACTCAATTTATCGTATCAAACGTGCATCGCACTTTACGTGTACATCAATTGTATCCGTATCATTACCAACGGGTGCAACAGCTGTTACCGCGAGATTTGGAACAACGGATATTAACGACTTTTGCGAAGGTATTGTCATTAACTTTTAATATTCGCGGTGATTTGAGACTGTAATAATCATTGAAAACATACTCAGGGTTTCTCGCGCAATATCGGCGGAATGTCTTGTTTCCTGACAATATTCTGTGGACCGACGAATCTACGTTCACACAAAACGGCATATTTATTTCTCGTAATTGCTGATATAGGTCCGACGAAAATCCGCACATCCGTGAATGCGGATTTCAGTACCGTTGATCCATCAACGTAAGGACTGGAATAACCGGGAATCAAGTGGTAAGTAGGAAGAAAATAATTTTTCTTAGTCTTCCGTTCTCTACAAGCTCGTTGGCTCACATGATTTAATTAATAATAACTTGATAACTATTGATAATTTGATATTATGGTATATGACTTTTCTTCTCGGCTACACCCAATCTATCTTCAACATTCATCTGTATGATAACCTTTCAAACTCCCTGTATTTCTAATAAATATATTTTAAATTAAAAGTATATCTTCTATATCCTTTTTTGACACATTACATTTTGATAATTACATATTAAATTTAAGGTAATATAAAAATAACAAGTGAAAAAGAAGAAAAGACTACACACCCTACAGCAGCTAGATTCGAATCTTACTTGACATTCTATGTTTAATTACCTCAGTTTTATTATGGAATAACTTCAAGGCTGTCAAGCAAACGTCTGAGCAAACGGCAATAAACGGGTTAAATATTTTTAGATTTTTGTCAAATCTGTAATTTACATTTCGTACAATTCCGTTATTAAGTAGTTTAACCTGGATATCTACATTTATCTATGTTCACATGTTAACTTGATGTAAATATTATGTCATTAGGATTAGTCCATTTTCATGTAATAATGTGAAAAAGTATAAGAGGCAATACTATATAATGTAACTGAAAAAATATAGCGCAACATCCACCTGTAGCGCAGCATCTATCACACATTGCACAATATCATTATGCTTTCCGAAAATTGGGTCATGGAAGTGTAATATTATTATGAATGGGTAGATTTCATATTCGATGTTCCTTACGTTACTTCTTGCAAAATTTAAAAATTTTGCAAAATTACTAGATAGGGATAGAGATAAATTAGAAAATGATAGGAATCAAGTTGTTATTCAGTTGTTGAGTGAGCACTCTCTGGATAGAGCTCGAAAAATATTCTTCGTAACGGGCTATTTAACTGATAACTGATTTGATAGGCAGAATATTCAAAAGAAATATAACTATTTTGATATGTGATTCCTGGAAGCACAGAATACAACTGATACATAAAAGAAATAACACACATACACATGCACGTATGCACTCACACGTAATACTACTGTGATCAAAAACAAAGGTGAATTTGTTTATAAAATGAAAAATCTTTATTTATTCTACCAAATCAATTTCATCGCATTCAAAGTACTCCCCGTCCGACACAATGCACTTATGCCAACGTTTTTTCTAATCCTCGAAACAGTCAGAGAATTCCTTTTCCGGGATGGCCTTCAATACTTTTTTCGATTCGGCTTTTATCTCCTCAATCGAGTCGAAACGGTGTCCCCGGAGCGGTCTTTTGAGTTTGTTGAACAGCTAGTAGTCGCACGGTGCTAAATCAGGCGAATACGGTGGTTGGTGGGACGATATGGGTCGAATTTTTGGCGTTGAAAGTTGAGTGTTTTTGGAACCAATCGAGATTTGACGCGTTTGAGGCACAAAACATCTTTTAAAATGGTTTGGGTTGATCCAAATGAAATGCCCGTAGCATCAGCAAGGTTCCTAATTGTCAATCGACGATTTTCGAACAGCAAATCTTTGATTTTCTTGACGTGGCTTTCATCGGTAGATGTTGATGGTCGTCCGGGGCGCTGTTCGTCTTGAACTCGTTCTCGGCCTTCTTTCAAGTCTTTGTACCACTTGTAAAGATTTTTTTGCGACATAGCCTTATCACCAAAGGCCTTCTGCAACATCCTCAACGTTTCCGGCAAATTATTCGTAAGCGGCAAAATATTCATTCCGCAAACAAAATTTAATGCAAATTTTTTGCTCAACAAAATCAGACATAGTAAAAATCGAAAAACTCACTTTTGTATGTTTACAAAAACACGTATAGCTCTGTAGCAATTGAATATATTGACATGAAACTCTGCATAGATGTCAAAGATAGTGCTACCAAACCACAAAAAATAATTTCATGATTTTAAAGTACGCGCGAAGTTTAAATGAAAAATTCACCTTAATTTTTGATTACAGTAATATAACTGTTATAAATTTTAATTTTGAAGTTTCTTTGTTTATTCTTATAACATAAGATATATTTTATAAGATAAATGTGTTTTGAAGCTGTTATATTCCTTTGTTCTTATTGCTTATAGCAATATATCAGCAGTATAATTTAAATATAATATGTTGAATTACAAATGCGTACGAGTTTTGTTTTATATTTATCACATACAACAGATTATACAATAATATTTAGGTCGACTCATCCTTTAACCAACATTTGTTTCTTGTACGTAAAATATAATGAATTATCGCATATGAATACCGTGTCGTCGGTATGACAAAACTTGTACAAATTTTCTAAATTCTTGTATTAAGAAGGTAGTATAATTTTTAATTACAATTGCAGTACGTGTTTAGTTTTATATTTATCATATGCAGCAGATTATACAATAATATTTAGGTCGTTTTATGCTTTAAACAACATTTGTTTCTTGTACGTAAAATATTATGAATTATCGCATATGAATATCGTGGCGTCGGTATGACAAAACTTGTAGAAATTTTCTAAATCCTTGTATTAAGAAGGTAATATAATTTTTAATTAATGATTATTATTTTTTACAACAATAACTGCTACTTTCCTTGCAAATATCGCGTATGTTGACAGTAGTGACTAAATTACAAATGCGAATTAATCAAGAATGCCATAGTATTTTTATACCTTTATATCTGCTAAGAACAATATATGTAACACAACAAAAATATATAAAAGGACAATAATATGTAACAATAACAATACATAAAATGTAACAATATATAAAAATATAAAAATATGTATATTTATATTATATATATATAAAACTATATGCAAGATAATAATCTATGAAAGAACTACAATCATTTTGAATATTCCGCCTATCCGAGCAATGTAAACAGACCGCTTCGAAGATTATTCTCCGATGGTTCTCCGTTCAGAGAGCGCTCAGTCAATAATTGCGTAAGAGGTTGATTCCTATCATAATTGATCATCGTTTGTAAATCTATGATTAGTGGCTCGCAACGGTTACTTCACGCGTTTCTCTCATTGGAAAGTGTTCAAACTGTTTCGCACAGCCGAATGTACCTGACGCGACCTTCCTGTTTGTATGATATTTCGCTTTTGGATATTGTGAACAGCATAAATACCAATAATTTTAAACAATAACTTGAGCAATATAGAGAGTGCATATCGAAATTTGTCTTTTTACAAGATATCGGTAAACGTCGAGACAGGGAAAAATAAATTCGGACAACGCGGTTACGCAAACAGATTATTGAGCCTAGGCAGTTGAAATTTTAACTCGAAATTTCACATTGAAAAGGGCAAGATTATGACTCACATATGTGAAATTTGCAAGAAAAGCTTCCCTCTGATTAAAGAGTTGAAACAGCACTACAAGCAGACTCACAAACGTGGCTTATACAAGTGCGAATATTGCGACTTCACATCTAACGACAAGCATGACTTGAAAAGGCACGTGGAACGAAAGCATACGGATAATTATGCATACACGTGCCCGGGCTGTAATAGAAAGTTCAAAACTCAGGAATATCTGGACAATCACATAATAAATATTCATTGTAGAGAGGTAAGCAACAGCTCGAAGTCTTACCGATGTGACACCTGCGACATAAGCTTCCCTTCGATGCAAGAGTCGAAACATCACTTCAGTGATATACACAAGCAAATCATGTTTGAATGCTATTATTGCAAGGAAATATTCGCCAGAAAATGTAATTTGAAAGATCACATTGGACGAATACACATGGACGATATCTATGCGTGTACTGAGACCGGCTGTGATAAGAAATTCAGAGCGCTGCGAGATCGGGATAAACATATACGAGATGTTCATCATAAGAACCAGGAGGAGAAGAAGGAAAGCGGTAGTCCGCAACCGGGACCGTCCTGGAAGAGTGACACTCCCATGAGCGGCAAACATTCCAAAAAGAGCAGCAAAAAGAACGTAAGAGCGCCTTACTCATGCAATATCTGCAAAAAAGGTTTTAATAAGAAAGAAGAGTTGAAACATCATCTCAGTGCCGATCATGGACAAGATATGCTCTGCTGCGAAACATGCGGTTTCACATGTAAAGACCAACACTCATTGAACGAACACACAATACGGAAGCATACGCATGAGCACAAATATATGTGTGATGAGGAAGGCTGCGGCAAGAAATTCAAATTGAAGTCGGATTTGACGAAACACAAAAGGCAGAATCACTCGAATAAGCCGTACACGTGCAGAAAATGTGGTCATGTAAGTTCTAGTTTGTCAGAGTACCGTGCACACAATTTCACGCACTTAAAAAGAAAGGTAGCCTGTCAAATCTGTGGGAAGAAGATATTCAATAACAACTTATCTGTACATTTAAAGACACATGGTGAGAAGACATTTGCTTGTTCTACCTGCGGTAAGAAGTTTCATAGGAGAACACAATTGCAAGGGCACATGTTAACTCATTCGCATCAAAGACCCTATGCCTGCAACATTTGCAGCGCGGCGTTTATGGAGCGACAGGCTTTAGACAATCACAGGAGGGACGAACATCCCGATGCATCTCCAATCGAATAGAACGAATCGATATCATACATATATTGTTGCAAAATTTCTAGAAAAATCAAGAACATTCAGGTTGCCAATCAGGATTAAAGAAGATATAATATGTACGCGACGAAACAGTTTGTATTTAAGTTTACATACGCACACACAACAAATACGCGCTTCAACACACACATACTTAAACACACACACGTACAGATACATAATGTTCATGGTTGGGTGAATATTTCAAAACAGATTTCTTTATAAAAATATGTATTCAGCAATTTTTAAATTGTGATTTTGTCCTTGAATGTCTGTTCGTAATAATCCTACATTTTCTATATACTCTTACATGTATGTGTGTGTGTGTGTGCATACGAGTGCGTGCACGCGCGCGTAGATGTATGCACGCACGCACATGCTCACACCCAGTTTTCTGTGTAAAATAATAAGAATAAATATATAGAGAAGTATATAGAGATGAGTTGAAGGATGACTATATGACGTACGTTATACATATGTGTTTTACTTGTATGTTGAGCTGAGCATCATGTTGAAATTTTATTTGTGTTTAATAAGATGAAAAAATGTCATATTGTATTTGTAATATTTTAAAAATAATCTAAAACGTTGACACACGTGAATATTTACATGTTCCAGTAAACACGAATTATGACAGTGACAATTTTATCAATGTCATAATATTTCACTTAATAATGTAATTAATATTCGATATTCCACTTAATAATAATACTTAATAGTAATACTCTGGAAGAAATTTCAGTGTAATATGTTATAAATTATAGTTATCGTTTAGCAAGGCATTGTGACATTGATATTATTTTACTACAATAGTTTGTCCTTTGACTGGAATATATTAATATACATATTATAATATACATATTATAATATCGATATGTTGATATTTATGTGTTACGTTTATATTTATTCTTAGCTACATTCCATCTTTAACCGTATATAATTATGTACATTCTCTCGAAAAATTAATTCTGTTTAAAAAGCAAAAAGAAAATACATTTAATTTTTATGATTGATTACTATAATGTGAACATACATTTGCTTTCATCAAATCTGTGCAATAGCATTCTCCCGTTATGAATATATGTAATGATTATATGTATACTTATATTACATGTAACCTCAAGTAACCATGTAAAATCAAATAACGGCACATTACATTAATATTCATCTGTTCATTCAATAATGTAATTGTTATTGCAACGTATATTTTATATTTATATTTTATTACTATTGAATAATATATATAACACTATATTATTATACATTCATATTATTAAATGGAAAATTAAAACAATGATTTGATATTATTGCTGACTCGTTAGGTTATTAGTATTAGGTAGTGACAAAGTTCATAAACTATAATTTTTATCTAGCATATCTGCGGTATTTTTTGCATCGTGTTTCTAAAGATATTCATCTTGCTGCGGATTTTCCTATCGTTTTTGGACTGAGATTTCAATAAATCTATATTTTAATATATTTTTGTTATATTCATTAATTCTTTGCGTGTTTATGAGAAAACCGGCGTATTAAATAAAATTTGTATAAATATTCAAAATCCTTGAATCCTTTCCATTCAACGCTCTGAAATATTTCATAACATGTCCATCATCATTGTTAAGTCTCCTCTACAACATTATTATGATTTTTCGGAGTCAAATGTCCGACTTATGTGCATTGGATTACTGGCTATCATAATGAGGCTTCACCAATCGACTATCGGTATTGGGGCGAGAAAAATGATCATGTCGCATCAATATTCGTCATATATCGACTGTTGTTACGTTGTATGACATTTCTCTCAGTAAATTATACTGCTTTGATTAATGCAGTATTATTACACAGAAATAATGTACAGGGTCGCGCAAAAATTTCGAGCCATAGTGTCTTTTTAAGATACATGACAATATATTGATTTGCTCTAAAAATTAATTATATAAAATAATTGACATAACATTCTTACAAATGATAGTACAGTTACAAAATTTTGAAAGTACATAGTTTCTATTTATTTAGTCATATAATATTTAAATGTGTTCAAAAGTATTGAGCCGTATTCTTATTGTGACTTTATGAGCCCGGTTTGTTTACGTTTCTTATGAAACTTCTTCGTAAATATTTGCTTTAACTAAGGTTCAGTTTATTGTCTACCGCAATGCCGAAACATACAAGCCTTCAGTTACGCGAAGCCGTGATTAATCTTTCTCAGCAAGGAAAGGTTTCTCGCGAAATTGCTTATTGCTTATTAATTGATAAAAGTATGGTAAATAGGATTATTGCTAAATATAAGTTGACGAACTCTTTAGCTGATAAATCACGAAATGGTAGACTTCGCAAAACTACAAAGCGCGTCGATAAAATGATTAAAAGAAAGTCGATAGCAGATGTTAGGAAAGCTACTCAGGATATTTCTCGAGAACTACGAGAAGAAAATCTTGCTGATGTAAGTCGAAGTACAATATCTTGACGTCTAAAGGAAGGAAGTAGGACTTTTAGGACGCGTTGGTGTAAAAGAACCATTAATTAATGCAAAAAATAAGAAAGATCGGTTAGATTTTGCAAGGAAATTTGAACATTGGACTGAAGTTGATTGGCGAAAGGTACTTTTCTCTGACAAGTCAGAGTTCCAGTTATTCGGAAGTGACGGTAGAAAAATATATACGATATTCAACAGGCACAACATATAACCCAAGATATCAAATTCCTACCGTAAAACATGGTGGAGGTAACGTGATGGTTTGGGGATCATTTTCTTATAATGGAGTTGGTCCATTGGTTGAGATCATATATTGACACAGCATTGCTGCCATATGCAACTCGAAACATGCCACGTGATTGGATTTTCCAACAAGATAACGATTTTCAAACATTCATCAAAACTAATAAAAGAATTTTTCATCATGAAAAAAATGCGGGTTCTTGACTGGCCCTCGCAATCACCGGACTTGAATCCTATTGAGCATTTGTGGCAAGAATTCAAACTACATACAGGAAATAAGATACACTCCCAATACAGCTGAATTGTGGCAAGATTTGCAAACTCAATGGCAAAATTTTCCTCAAGATCATATTTCTAATTTAATAGCATCAATACCTCGCCGTTGTGCTGCTGTGATTGCTTTTAAAGGCATAGCGACAAAGTATTAAGTATAATAAACGTTGATAACACTTTCTGTTATTATTTTTCAATGATATATTTTCCTTATGCATAAGAAAACTTTTTGGCGCAATACTTTTGCACCGTTTGTAATAAGACGTCGTATAAAATAAAGTATTTATAATTATTAAGAGTTTGTAAAATTCATATAATCGTAGGATAAATAAATACATTTTGTTTATATATATGTGTAAAGTTTTTAGTGCTCATTATGAAATGAATATATAATAATACTAGGTGCGCAACTAAGTTCCGGGTTTCACGTATGGATGGCGCTAATGACACATGTAGTGGACATACATGTGTGAAGTTGTGTTTTTTTCATAGCTTGGACATCTGTCAACAATAACCAATCGTAATACCAACACATATCGCAACGCAAAAATATTTTTTCTAACAAGGAAGATGTTGAGTTTTGTGCCAAATAAACAGCTTTTGCGGGAAGCTTTGCTTTTCTCCTTTAACTTGAAAAAAAGTGCAGCTGAAGCACGTCGTTTGCTTGACTTGAGAGAGGCTCTACGGCGAGCATGTTCCATCGAAAACACCTGTGCAAGATCGGTTTAAACCGCTTCACGAAATGGTGATTTTGACACTGAGGACAAAGAGCTCTCCGGAAAGCCAAACAATTGAGGATCATCGTTAACAATAACCAGCGCTATGTTGGCATGAAGAATCGATACGAACACACAAGATCAACTTGCCGTGAGGCATAAATAAACATGACTCGCCAAGGGTATTCCCCGTTTACATGCCATGGGAAAATTCAAAAGGAAGGAAAATGGTGTGCCGTAAGTTTATGAGAAGACAGATGAAAATCAAAAGAGCCACTTCCGAAATTTTGCTTCTGCAGGCATGAAAACAGAAGTTTCTGCATCCGAATTGTGTACTGGCGATTGAGAAGAGGGATATATTTTCGAGAATCCCTAAAGCAATAACATCGTGGCTTGTCACCTGGACCGCATCTAACATGACCGGCACGACCAAGATCGGAACTGAAGACAATGCTCTGCGTTTGGGTGGGATCCAGAAAGGAATCGTCGGTAATAGAGCTGCGAAAAGAACCGGGCGAAATGTTAATGGGCACGCTACGACAACAACTGATCAATTTTGAACCATGCATTGCCGAAAAACGGCCAGAATGGAACGAGAAAGGGACAAACGAGTGATATTGCAGGCACGAACGCTCATAGATATAGATACTTACCGCTCGTCGACCTACAACAGAGAAATGGGATCTGCTACCCTGTAGACTACCGCTTTGTGATACGCCAGACCTGGCCAGCCATATCCGATTATGCAACTTCTTGCCGGTCGATGGCGCATAGCTTGGTGGGCAACCATTTAGGCAATTTCGAAAAAGTACAAGCAATCGATTGTGTTACGAATGGTTTCCGGTCGAAAGTTTATGCGTTGCTTGATGTCGCGCTATTCTGTATTGCCAGAGGAGATGCAAAAATGTGTACTAGCGAGGGAACGATACTCTTGAATAACCATTTTTTGTATTTCTCTGAATATTTTCATTTTCATATTATTAAGAAAACCCGGAAACCCTTAGTGCGACACCCCTAGTAGTTGTGATCGGTTCACAAAACTTTTGCACGCTGTAGTGTAGGACAAAAAGAATCGAAGTGTACTTATCTATCCATAAAGATTAATATTACTGTGATTCATCGTTGGAGTGTCATACTTGAGGCGCAACAAACATAGTTTCAGAAGAAAGACGGCACCGCGGTGAGCAACATTTGACTTTCGATAGATCAAATTCGAATTGTTTTCTGCCAGTGATTCGTGAACTCCCACGGTCTTTCTACTGCAGCCTCACGTATCTCATCTCGCAAGTGATTAAAACCGACAATGCCGATATCTTCACAATGAAGATCACGGAATGATAGTCCTAGCGGGTCAGCGGGTCGAAAGATGGCGTCCATCGGCCGGCTTGGTATACGCGGAGCAAGTATTCCTAGGCGTGCACTATTTCCACGAATGAGACCAATTCCTGTGTTATGATCTCTCTCAAACAACAA